CATAAACAATTTGTGGTGCATTATTGTTTAGTGTACTGGTCCAGTGACCTTAACATTCTGTACAGCGTGGCTAAACGTTAACATTCATGACTCACTTTATTGTTCTCTGAGTTATTTGATCAGAAGTATTTGCAAGGTCTTTTGAGACACGTGACATTGTTTTCTCTATGCTAAATGCCTAAGTCTTTGTGCATTTTAGCATTTTCTAGTTGTTTTGCTCTGGTTAAGGTTGGGGTGAATTTCCCTTCTCATTACTATGGTGACCACATGTGACAGATCCCTGTGATTTCATTAAAACATTTTCATTGGATGTTTCTAATCCTGAACTTGAAATTAGACACGAAGTTTGTTGTAATTGTGTATAAAATAAAAGCAATTTCTCTGAGAAAGTATCAAACAGGCTTCCTTGTGGTATGAAATTCTTTATGTTTAGCAAAATGATATTTTATTTAACATTGACTTGTCAGATTGTAGACTTTTCTATTTTCTTCTGGATTCACAAATGGATTATGAAAAATGTAGTTGCATTTTTGTACAGGTGAAGGTATTGCTAAAACACTTTACAAATATCATTTCTGTGGTACTAGGGTTTGAATTCAGGGCCTCACACTTGCTATGCAGACACTCTACCACTTGAGCTGCTCTGCCAGCAAATTTTTGTGTTGAGTATTTTTCAGAGAGGGTCTCACTTTTTTTGGTTTGGGCTGGCCTTGAACCATGATTCACCTTATCTCTGCCTCCTGAGTAGCTAGCATTACAGGTGTGAGCCACAGATGTCCATCACAAACATCAAATTTTAGATATTATCTTCAAAGAAGATAATTTGACTTCCTACTTTATTTTGAAACCATTTTATTTCTTGCAATTATCTTGTTGCAGTGGCTAATGTTTCAAGTACGAAATTGAGTGATAGTGTTGATAAGACCTTGTCTTGTTCCTAATTGTAGAAGAAATGCTTTAAGTTTTTTCTCATTCAGTATAATGTTGGTTATATGTATGTCTTATATAACCTTTATTATGTTGAGGTATGATTGTTCATTTTCTAGTTTCTTCAAGGATTTTATAATAAAGGGATAATGGATTTTGTTAAAGTTTTACTCTGCATCTATTGAGATGACTATGTGTTTCCTGTCCTTGGTTCTTTTGCCTGTTGTATGGCATTTATCAATTTGCACAAGGGAAATGATCCTTTCATTCCTTGATCATGATGCATAATATTTTCAATGTGTTTTGAACCTGGTTTGCTAATATACCACTTCTGGGTATATACTCCAAATAATCTAAATCACCTTCCAGTAGTTATCCTTGAAAAAATATATTATTAAATATTATCCTGTGATTACTAAGAATGAAATTGTGACATTATCAGGAAAGTAGATAGAACTGGAGAACATAACATTAAGTAAATAAGTCAGTATCACAAAGATAAATATATGTTCATTCATGTTTATAATCTTAGGAGAAGCACAATGGAAGTAAAAGAGGGACTTTTGATATGTGGAAGAAGAAAGAATGGAGGAGGGGGAAATAAGAAAGAACAACAGAGTGAGTGAATGTGATCAGAGTATATCGTATGTATGGATACAATATAAAAATTCAAAGATTTCAAAATTTCATTTGTGTAGTTTTCATATTCTCTTAAAAGGTAATTTTTACTTTAAATTCATTCATTTTTATTGACAAACAAAAATTTAAATTTGTTATTAAAAATGAGATGATGTCTGGGGATGTACTTTGTGGCAGAGTACCTGCCTTTCATGTTCAGACTTTAGGTCTGATTCCTAGAACTGCCGAAAAAGTGAGTTGATTCTATTTTAGGCATAGAGTTGGGCTTTGGTTTTGTTTTCAGACTTAGTTTTGCCATTTTGAATTTATTTGTTCATTGTTCGTCTGTGGATAATTTTTACTTCTTTGCTTTTTTGTTTTGATGGTTTCACATAATGGTGTCCATTGAATTCTTTCTTTTGACATTTTGTGCAATAGTTTCTGTACTATAGTTTTTGCTTTGTGTTTACCATGATACATCTATAAAATATCTAATACTTAAAACATTTTCTTTTAAGACTGTGAAGAAGTCATTTTGATCATGTAAGTCTACATTACTCCCATCCCATGCATATTTATTTTGATGAAAAATTTACATCTTCTCGTAATTTGTATTCCTTCGCAATTTATTTCAGTTATAATTACTTTTAGTAGTTGTTTTTTCCTCCCTTATACCTGAGATAAAGTTCTTTTGTGCACCAATTTTATGGTCCTGGAATACTTTGTGACTCCTTCTTAGCTTTACTTTTGGGTCTTCTGAATTTAGATGCTTTTGTTCTTCTTTAGCAAGCTTTCATTTCAGCTTAATGTACTCTTTTCAGTAATTGCTTCAAGGAAGACCCAATGTTGATGTATGCCTTTAGCTTTTGCTTGCCTGATTTTTTTCTTTCTCATTTATGAAAGAAAGCTTTGCCAGTAAGGAATGTTCAGATGACAGTTTTTTTTTTTGAGAACTTTGAATATATCCTTTCACTTTCTCCTGACTTGCAGGGTTTCACCTGAGTATCTACTGTAGTACTATAGAGAATCTCTTGTATGTAATATGTATTCTATATCTTGCTTCTCCTGGAACTTTTCCTGTTTCTTTGACAAAATTCATGATTTTCTTGTTTTTTGTTTGTATTATTGTTCTGTTCATATCTTGTTTACAAATTTTGTTTAATGTTTATCTGTATATTCACGTATTTTGTTCTTAAGAGCACTATCCTGAATTCTTTCTTCTAGCATTTCACAGATCTCTTTTTCAATGGGTTCCATTATTGGAGTTATATTAGTTTTCTTTAGTGGTGTCATGATTCTCTGATGATTTCTAAACCTTGTATTTTTGATGGTTTATTGCATTTGAGGAGAAAGTCATGACATCCAGACTTTGCAGATGTTCTTTAGCAAGGATAGACCTTAACTGTTTGGTCAATCCTGTGATTATAGATGGGACAGATGGCATCAACCATAGGCAGGCAGATTTTGGTGTTATGATAGTTACTTTCCTCGCTTATTGACTTTGATTTGTGATGTGATAAGTCTGCTGGATGTACTCTGCTGCTTAGGAGAACACTGACTTTCCACTGTAGTCAGTCAGAGTTGGTGCAATGGCACCATGTTCACCTCTGACAACTTAAGAATGCAGAGTGTATTCCTTGGTGAGACAGTGCCAATATTCATGTCCTGAAATTGGACAGGGCTGCAAGCTGACTCCAAGGTTAAACCAAAACCTCATGACAGATGGGACAGAGGTGGTATTCTATAGAAAGGCATGGCTGAGTCTTACTTCCTTATGTTGTTCAAGTCTTTGAGTGTGATCTGTGTCTTGGTGGATCTATTGTTTAGACTCTGAAGTTGGGTGGTTGTAGTCCTTAAACTCTTCAGAAATGCACAGCAATATGTATTTCCCTGTGTAGGCTCTGAGTCTTGGCTGACCCACTGTTTGGACACATTGGTTGGGAAGATCTAACTCATATACTCTGCTGTGATAGGTGTCTTCCTACATGTATGGGGCCATGGTGTGGGTTCTGGGGTTGTGTATAGAGGTAGGTCATGAAAGGATGCAAAAATGGAGTTTTTTGAGCAATATAAAAACTACCACTCATGATTAAGAGATGTGTGTGATGGATAATAAAAAAAAAGAATGATATGCTGATATCATGTATCAGTTACTGTACACAAACCTGAGTGAAAATAATATAAATGGAGAGTTTGTAATGATCTTGCCATTAAATTAGACCCAAAATAAGAGAAAAATTGAATAAGCCTAAACCTGTTATAGTACACACACATTGTGCCTGCAGTCTCAGTATTTCTTACTGCCTATGTTTCATTTTCTTGTCTAAGTCCTACAAACAAAATGGGATAGCATATGCATTAAAACCAGGGACGTTCTCGGAATTTTTCAAAGAAAGAAATATGTGAAGAAATGCTCAATGTTCCTAGTCACAAAGGAGATGTAAATAAAAATGAAATTGAAATTTACTCACTCCAGTCAGAATGGCTGTCATCAATAACACAAACAACAGATTCTAGTGAAGATGCAATGTAAATTAGTACAATCACTGTAGAAAGCAATGTGGAGGTTCCTCAAAAAATTAAAAACTAAACTGCTATCCAATCCAGCAATACCACTCTTGGGAACATATCAGAAGGAATACAGTCAGCATACTATAAAGACCTCTGCACACCCATGTTTATTGCAACACTATTCACAACATCCAAGCTACAGAAACAGCCTAGATGCCTTACAATTGTGAGTGAATTAAGAAAATTGTGACCTCTATACCTATATCTGTATTTATCTAACTGTTTATCATTTATCTATCTACATACAATGGAATGTTACTCACCCATAAAGAAGAATGAAATTATTTTATTTTCAAGCAAAAGGATGGAAGTGGAGATCATCATGTTAAACAAAGTAAGCCAGAATGTTACATGTTTTGTCTCATTTGTGGAAATAGGTCAAAAACAACTGTATACACAAATACAAACATAATCATACATACTTATTTATACATAGACTATGTTTGCAAAAGTGAGCGTGCTTAAGGAAAGTAGAAGGAGAAAGCAGGGGAAAGAGAATAATAGAGAATGAATAAAATTGAAATACATTGGCTCTATATAGGAAGAAGTAATAGTAAAGCACATTGAAAGCTATTGATCGATGGCATGTTGGCGAAAAGGATAGATGAGTGGTAGTGGAATTAGACTAATTATAGCACAATATACTCACATGTGCAATACCATGGACGAATCCCTTTGAACAAAGAATATACACTTCAATAATGAAGGACAGTGACATGAAACAGAACCTAGTAGGGGAAGGGCTCACTTGGGAGTGGGAGGGTGAATGGAAAGGGCAAAGAGGGTGAATATGATGGGTGTACTTTATATATTTGCATAAAAAAGAACATTACCACATGGCACTCCCTGTACAACTAATTTAAGACATGAAAATGTTCAAGAAATTAGGCAGTTCTGCTGTAAATCCTCAAAAGGGCATTCCTGATATCCCTGTTCCTCAGGCTATAGATGAAGGGGTTCAGCATGGGGGTGACTATGATGTACATTACCGAGGCCACTGCACCAATCCTGGAGGAATGAGAGACAGCTGAGCTGAGGTACACTCCAAGGCCAGTTCCATAAAATAAGCAAACAACTGACAGGTGAGAGCCACAGGTGGAGAAGGCTTTATTCTTCCCACTTACTGAAGGAACTCTCAGGGAGGAAACAATTTGAGTATAAGAGTACAGGATCCCTGTGACTGGAATACCAGCAAAGATGACACCAATAATATAGACTGACACATTATTACTATAGGTGTCTGTATGACCAAGATTGACAAGCATAGGTGTGTCACAAGAGAAATGAGGAATTTCCACAGTTGTGCAAAAAGTGAGCTGTGACAACATTAAACAGTGCACCTGGGAGTCCAGAAGGCTAATGAAAAATGACACCAGAACCAACAAGACACAGAGGCGGGGGTTCATGATATTAGGGTAGTGTAGAGGGTGACAGATGGCCACCAAGCGGTCATAGGCCATCACAGTCAGCAGTAGACTGTCCAAACACCCAAAAAGAATAAAAAAGAACACCTGAGTTAGGCAACCTGCGTATGTGATGGATTTGCTATGTGTATGGATGACAGATAGTCCCCACTGCTCTTTAGCAGATGATGAATAATTTATTGAATGGCATGCAAGCACAGATGTGCTATTCATTGCTGTATCTGTGGTATGTTTTGGTATATAGATGAATGATAGTCATTTACTGCTCTTGACCTTTTCAAGGACTTATGATACAAACACAATAATATATAATAGTCTGTTAGACATCCAGGGTTACAGCAAACTTGAATTCCAAATAATTTATTGGAATGGTATTGATCTTGGAAAAGATGTTGATGGTGGTTATAATGATGTATATGCTTAGTCAGTGACTACTTTGTGTATACTTTTTATATTTAATCACAGAGTCCTCCAAACAAGTATCATGAAAAATGAAAATTCTGACGGTAACGCAGCTAACTACCAAGTTCTGGACTATAGCTAATAAATTTAGTTGCTAATATTAAAATAATTGACTTTGTCTATAAATACCATTAATTGAATCTAGTAATATGAGAAGGAAATCTTTGAAATGATCCATTACGATGCACTAAAACTATTACAATCAGTGCACTGGATTATGCCTTCTTACACACACCCTTAAGTGCTTTATAATCACAAATAATTAGAGAAAAACCCCAAATAATCAGCAGAGGAACTTAAACAAATATGTTTTGCATAATATTCCAAGTCACATTGTTTATAATACAAAGTTGTTTTTAAATATGAGGAATGTTCCCATTTAAAAGTGAACTTATTTACAGTGGTAATAGGAATATTTTTTAAAAATAATTTTTATTAGGATATATTCATTATACAGGTGGATTTGTAGTGATAATTCTGATTAATTATATTGTACATTAGTTACATTGCCCCCATTTTGTCTCCCCATCAACCCTTCCCCACTCCACTTAAAGCTATTGCAAAATATTTCTTGGTTCTGTTTCATAGAGGTATAGGAATCCCATCTCCTATACCTATATACCATCACCATTTCCCATAGACCCCGTCACCTTAATCTCTTTCCTTCACCCTCACTGTACCTATTTCACAGTCCTGGTTTTCATTCTTAATAATTAAGTTGAATATCTTTGCTAGGAAACACTTCCCTATTTTTAGTAGATTTTTAAATATTTACTTTTTATTAGCATATGTTAATTATACACATGTATTTCATTGTGATGTTACCATAAATTTGTAAAATAGCTTGGATGATTCACCCCATCTGTTATAATCTCTTACCCTCTTTCTCTTCCTCCCTTTGAAACAGTATTTGGTGAATTTCATTATGCTGTCTTCATATACATATAATGTACTCTGATCATGTTCACCTGTCAGTTCTCTTTTTTCCTCTCCCACTGAATCTTACCCTAAGTAGTCCCGCTTGACACTTGTATCCCATTATTATTGTTATTATTATCACTTTATTTCTAGAAAATATTGAATATGTGTCTTTTTCAGCTTGGATTATCTCTCTAAACAGAATGACCTCCACTTCTGTCCACTTTTCTATACACATAATGTCATTCTTTATTATGGGTAGATAATACTCTTGTGTGTATATATATCACATTTTCTTGATCCAGTCAACATTTTTGGGCATCTCAACTAATTCCACAGCTTAATCTTGTGAACAATGATAAATGTGGGTGAGAAGGTACGTCTTGTATATTGATTTTAAACTCCATTGAATATATGTCCAAGAGTGGTTTAACACAATCACAAGGTAGGTCTATTTTTAGCTTTGTTATGAACTCCCATTCTGATTTCCATAGTGGTCACACTGATTTACATTCTCACCAATAGTGTAAAGGAACCATGTATTTGATAAAATTATTTACAACCATTGCATGGACTTAGAAGAAAACTATAGAGGCACCAAATTTGCTGTTACTGAAGCTGAACGTTAGAGGGGAGCCATGAGAAAATACAGGGAAGTGGATCAAGATGGAAGCTAAGTAAGACCATCCAATGATACACTATCCACAGACCTACCAATTGGAATCGATATTGACACAAAAACTACCTTCACAAGAGCTAAGGAAGGAAAGTGTGAGAACATAGCATTTAATTTTAGAATAATAATTAGTGGAGCTCTCAGTTACTATAGACTTCAAATTTTGAGAAGATATCTGGGTAGATGAGGGTCTTGAAAATCCAACAGTTTTGTACTACTTGTGTTTGCTGGTCCAGGCATGGATTGTCACAGTACTCTTACATACAAAGTGAACTTCCTGCCATATCATCTTCAGTCTTTTCCTCTCTTTATATTTTTCGTGCTTTCAAGTCTTGGACATTTTAATACAGGGGTTGCTGTGATGATCTTAAGAATAATGGATAAATAGGATTTGTTTGAATAGTGATTAGTTACGATCTCTTACATCATTTCCATGGAGTTATCTGGATGAAAGATGTCTGTGCTATGGAAGTGAGATTTATTTGTCCTTAACTGATGTGAAGAACACTTTAACATATACTTAATGGAGTTGAATATGGAGGAAAGGATACTGAGGACCTGTGGGTAAATAAAAGACAGAAGGGATAGGTATAGAGATGTGAGCAGGGAAGGAAGAATCTATCTGGGGAGACATGTTGAATGATTGGATTATAACAAAATGAGTTTTACATTGAAGTCATTTCATATTGGGTGTTAGTAATGACACTAATTTCACCAATCAAGAGGAATTTAATGCATGTGGCATAAAAACCAAAGGTAATTATATTCGTACAAATAAAATATGGTATGTACTTCATGCTTATCCCGTATCTTTCCTATGGGGAATATCCTGAAGAAAACAGAACTTGCATTCTCTATTAGCGATCTAATTGAGAAAATTATATCTTCAACAATTTATACTTTTATTTTTATAAAAATCAAATTAAAAATCAAAATTTGATTAAAAAAATCAAATCAAATAAAGACTTTATATTGTAATCTTTTTCTGGTAGTACTGGGATTTGAAATCATGGTTTCATTCTTGCTAGTCAGGCAATCTACTACTTGAGCCACACTGCACCTAACCCTTTTTGCTTTAGTTTACTTTTCAGATAGATTCTTGTGTATTTTTCAGGGACAGACATGGACCACAATCCTCCTACCTACACCTCCAGAGTAACTGGGATTACAGGGCCTTGCTAACATTTTTACCGAGATAGGATCTTGCCCAGGATGGTCTTGAACTTTGATCGTCCTGAGTAGCTGGTATTATAGGCAAGTAACACCATGACAATCTTATTTTATAATTCTTAATCTTGACGGAAACAATTACATTCTGAATAATAATATAGTTGCACATTTCTTCTCTCAGGGGTTTGAGGAACACATTATAGAATGCCAACTCCATGGAGGAAAGAAATATATATTTATCTGTAAAATATAACTTCAGTATTTTTTGTGAGGTACTTTGATAGCGAATTGTATGTTTAAAATTTCATGGGCTATGGGTGCCCAGGTGTTTGGCAAAACATTATTCTGAGAATGTTTCAGTCCTCATAGAACATTTTAAATTTTGGTTGTGATTAACATTTGAATTGGTATACTGAACAGAGCAGATTGTCTACTTGTATTAGTCCTTGTAACATAGCTATCAAATTACCTGAGGCTGGGAAGGGCATAAAGAAAAGAAGTTTTGGGGAGGTTGAAATCCAAAGTGTATGTGCTGAATATGGCAAGGTTCTCCTGGCAAATGGATTAGGTGTGAACATGTGTGAGAAGGAGAGAACAGAGGATGAATCAGCAAGACATAGATCAGGCAGGGGACTGTCTTGTTCTTTTATAGCAAACCCCAAATAGGATACTGCCAATGAAACCCCACTTGGACACTCTGAAGGAGAACATGTATTTAAAGCCAGTTTTACTTTTTTGAGTAGGTTTTAAATTATTCCAATTGCAGTTGAGTCACAACAGACATTTCCCTATGTTATAGCATTCAGTCAATGCATATAAACAAATATAATTATTCTAACAGAGAGCATTAAATATAGTCAATTGATTGAACAGTAGCCTCACAATAAAGGCTATAGGTATAATAATGAAAAAGGAGCCTCTAGAGCACTGAAGGCTTAGAGAAGTGAAGGGAGTAGTGAAATATACTGAACTTTAAATGTAGGGAAATTTAATGACCATGAGTGAAAGTGTATGATAACAAAAATAGGTGGAAATAGTGATTTCAAATGTGCCTACTCAGCATCAGAAGATAACTGTAAGATGGTAAGGTTGGAAAGTAAACACAAGTTAAAACTGAGCACAATGATAAGGTATTTGGTGTTTCAAGAAAATCTGTTTAAAAAAGATGTATGAAGAAAAACCCCTTCATTTGATGGTGCAATAATAAGCTCATTTGCAACTTACTCATTTCAACTTAAGTCCTTTAGATTAGCATCTGAACCTCTCTGGGGTCTTTTACAATCCCCACACGTAGACAGGTCCATATGAATCCAAATATTGGTACAAAGACACATTCATCATTATTTTCAAACTCTATGTTGATTCTAATAAAAGGTAAACTTGAGGACCAGTGATAACAGCCCATGAACATAGCCTACCGGTATGGATATATTAAAAGAAACCCTTATTTTAAATGAAAATAAAAATGAACTGTGAAAAGGGATATAAAATTTAAATATATAAAATAGTTTTCACTTAACCTAAAAACTAGGATCATTGCCTAGAAACTATAGTAGTGGCCTAAGTATATTGTATTTATCCATGAAGTTTCTGAAGAAAAAAAGCATTTCAGAATACTCATCAAATACAATGAAGTAATAGAAGAAAGAAGATTTGTAACATGTGGTGAAAGACATACAAACACTATATCCAAGAAGACATGAGTTTCAGGTCTAGATGATAGATTTTTCCAACCCACCATAAGTAAAGGATGGAAAAGAAAATAAGATTAGGTTGTCCTGGTGTTCAGTCTCCACAGGGATTTTTTAATGTCTCTGTTCCTCAGACAGTGTATGAAGAGATTCAGCATAGGGGTGATCACACTGTAAATCAATGAGTGCATCACGTCCTTTTTAGGAGAAATTGATACAGATGAGCCAAGGTACACTGCAATGGCTGACTCATAAAATAAGCAAACAATTTACAGGTGGGACTCACAGGTAGAAAA